AGAGTGCTCAAAATTATTGTGTGAATATTGTGTGTTCTTGTTTTGACAGTTTAACAAGTTGACTAAATTAAGGTCCTAATTCTGCAGCTAAGGTGTTCAGACGGGCTTCAGCACCTTTAAAGTCAGTGGCGTTAGGGAGGGTTGCAGGTTCTCCTGTACAGGTTTCAAATGAAGATAGGGATTTAAATAAATTTCCTGGTCAAAATGATGTGTGATGCTCTGAAAAAACATTAATTGTGTTGGCTCTAGGAGTGTTTGAAGTATTCAGATGATGCAAATGTACCTCTGGTGGGAGTTTACCGAATTTCATCATGAGGTTAATTGTGAGCACACTGTGTTCTCAGACTTTTTTATTTTCAAATATTAAAAAATCTGTTAGATAAAGGGAAAAAAGAAGAAAAGGAAGCTTAACAAGTGAAAAGGTACAAAAGAAGTCTGGTGTTGTGAAGCTGCCTATGGCAGGAAAGGTAGAGTTTAAATCTGATGATCGAGTACATCTGAACACACAATCTCCTTGGTTTGAAGAGTTATTTATGCCAATGAATTGTATGTATTCCTTGATGTGGTGATAGAATTGGGTTGCAGTTACTCATATATTCACAGGAAGAACGATGAGAGTGGCTTGTTGAAGATGTGCATGTTGAAAGGTCAGTGCCCATGGAAATTTGAATCCAGGTGGTTAGAAGGGGCCTTGGATGAGGCCCAAGGAGGTAAGAAAGAGGAAGAGTGTATGGATGGCTTTCGCCTAATATATTGAATTTTGAGCTGGTGCTCTGGGGGGGTCTCAGTTCCATCAGATGAGGCTGGAATTAATTCAAGTAAAGGTATGTTGTTTTCTCATGTCAAAATGCGCATTGGAAGTGCCTTTAGCTAGAATAAAATATCGAGCACAAATTCTGTTCTCCGTTTCCCCAATGAGCAGTCTGCTTTAATCAGTGGATAGGCTTACCTAACAGGCTTTGCAGTTCAGGAAGTTTCTCTGTTGGTCAAGTGAAGTGGGTGTGCAGGAGTGCCTGCACGCTGTGTCTGAGAGCTGTGGGGAACCTCAAGGATTAGCTGAAGTTTCACGTAAGGGAGGATGTCTGGCTCTAACTAATACAATAAACTAGTAAGCAAATAAATTTTTTTGCCTTTGAAACTACTTCATTGAGGATTTTGAAGAAAGCAGATTTGGCAAAAAGATTAAAGCAGCGCGTAGCCTACAGATTGATGTATTTCGTTATAGCAGCCTAAGCAGCCAGATTTCCTCTTTCCTCACACATTTTTTATTTTGAAATTCAAGGTATTTCTGGTTAGGTACAGCTCTTACATACGCATGTTGATACACACGTGGCCCTGCTTGGATTATGTAAGATTTTTAATTCTGACTGCCTTGATTTGCAGTCAGTGTGCTGACAGGAAATTAGTTTGTACCAGTACGTGCCTTTTGAGAACTATTTCTATGCAGTTGTGATGATGACATCAATGTGTGGAGGTCAGGTAGAGGAGGGGGAAAGACAGCCACTTGGCTGGAAGTTGGTTTTGGCAGTGTGTACGTGGGACTGGAGGGTTAATCATAATTTGTTTCTTTGACTGCTGTTTGCGTCAAAAGTCCAGGCAGCCTTAATGAACGTTGCTTGTGTTAATTTGAAACCCTTGCTGGGAAATCATGGGAAAATGGAAAAATGCATACTTGCATGTCACCGTTCAGATTAACAGCTTATGCCGTGCTAGAGCTCTCAGAGTGCATGGTGCAGCTCAGATGCAGTTCGGAGCAGCTGGTAAAGGGATCTCTCACTGTAAATGCCTGCCTGCCTGTAATTTTATAGGGTACCCTGTTAAACCAAAAGCTAATTTGCCATAGACTCTGTGCTAAATATGGTGCATCATATGACGGCTTAGTGAGCTGTGTAAATAAAAGCACTAAAATTGAAACTTTTAGGTATCATAGATCCCAGGCCTTTCTTCGTTTGCAGATATTTTTATTATTAATATTTTTTGCCTATATGTGTTAAAAGTCTTTTTACTCCACTTTTAACAGATAATAGTCAAGCCCCTAATTTTGCGTTGGTATCACCTTCATTGTGTGAAAGGTGTCTCATTATTGCCTAATTGAGAAGTCTGAATATCTTTGCAGTGTAAGTTCCCCAGTAACAGTTGGGTTTTGTTTAAGATAAACTTTTTTTCTTTTTGTCTGAAGCTTGTAAGAGAAATGTTTATATTGGGAAAGTTTGAGTATCCTTTCTAGCCACCTCTTTTAAAAACAAATGTTTCTCCTCTGTTTACTTAAACAAAAAAAAAAAATCCTCTTCCCCGGACTTTTGTAGTTTCAGATCATCTTATGCGAGTTTAACGTTTTGGTCCCAATTTTACAGTTATTTTTCTTTTGCTTAACTTTTTCCTGTGTGCGGTCCATTGGATATAAATGTGAAAGTTATGCAGGATGGGAGGCCTGAATCCCTACTGAGACTAGCTTATGTTACAAAGTTGATTTTAATTTCCTTTAAGTTCCGTGTTCTTTGAAAAGCGTTTACTATCCTTGTGCAACGCCTCAAGTGTTTTATCATGTTCAGCCCTCTCCAGGTCAATGGGGCTGTGACCCAGGGGTATATTAGAAAAGCTCTAATATCCTTTGGGAATTTCTAACACGGCTGCAGCAAACCAAAAAGCTGAGAGCTAGCTAACCCAAGTCCCTTCTCTAACGTTTCTTAGCAACCTGAATATTCTATTAGCCAACATTTATTATAGCTCCAATATCCAATATAGCTTAAAATATCCAAAGATATTTTCCAGACTAGGTCTGATAAGTTAACTGTTTTGTTCTGGAAGATTACAGAAGCAGTTGTGACATAGGAAAGTGAGAGAACTTATTCAGAGAAAATATATGCAGGAGCTATGGTGTCGTTACAGTTGCTTTGGCTCCAAGACATTTAGTTCCACTGCAGTTAGAGGCATGTTGAAGGTGAATGGCAGTGCTGCAGTGATATACGTGCATAATAACTGCAACTATATGTGTACGTTCTCTGTGTTACATCTATTGGAAATAGAGTTTTTCTATTTTAAAATCAAAAATTTTGTTTTGGAGACTAATGTTTGGCTGTATAATTGTGTTGTGTTTTGCGCACGTAGGTAGGTGCTCGTATATGTGTATAAACACTTATAATTAAAAGTACTTCCGAAAAAAGTACTTTCAAAACATTTGAGATAAAAATTATCTTAATCCTATGTACCTAGAGATGACAATCAAATAAATGTTTGTTAAGGAAGAAACTTAACTTCATTATTGATATCAAACTTCTTTTTGCTCCTTAGCGTGACGCTGTAGGGAGCTTGAAGAATCAGAGATAGATTTGTTTTTTAAATTGTATTGAAAAACATCTCTTTAAAGGTACAGAAATTAAGTGGTCCAGTGTGCAGGGAGAGGGGAATAGTTGTTGAAGATAAGTCCCTTCAAAGAAGGCAGATGTATGCTATACCTTTTATTGGGCCTTTTCCAAGGGAAGACTGTGTTTAAAAACAATGAGAGTTTTAGCTTGTGTCAAGAGCAGGCCCCATGATTTTTGATTAAGATGAATAAAAATTGCATTTTCCACGCTGTTTGGCAGTCCACCAAGTGCTTTCACCTGCCTGCTTCAACTTCTCAGGTTTAGTTGCAGCCCTTGTTCAGCAGAGGGAGCTTTTAGAATAAGCTACACGCTCTCCTGCCTTCCCCAGATCGAGCCTTGCATCCAGCCTAGCAGCACTGTCTCAGAAATCCAGGACTAGTCATTAGGTCCTAAACTCTCAACTCTTTAGGTGTGATCTTGTGGCAAATTCTGATGTTGTGGGTTTAAAAGTAAAATTTTAGTGACAGGGCATCTTTTCTCATTTTGTTTCAGGTGTTAAGCATTTCCCATAATTTTTTCCCCTTCCCAATAGGAGAGAAGTGACATTTATTTTGATTATCCCTATAGCTAATAAAGGAAATTGCATAGTTGTAATATACTACTTCCTTACAGTTTCATATATATGTACTTATATATGGAGCTGGGGGCTATTAGGAGCATGTCTACATAATTAGTATAGTATATCTGTGAATATGTGAATGTATACGTTACCTGTGTACAATCGTAATATCTCCTAGGTCTAGAATCTTTTCAAAAGTAGAAAAATTATATGGATCATGGTCACTTATTTGATATGATGCTTCTGAAATAAAGCCTACTTCATGCAGAATTAGAAGGATGTTATACAACATAATGGATGGAAGGATGTTTATACAAGTTTAAACAACGCAACTGTTCAGTCAGATTTGTTATTTATTGCAAAGTACCTGTTTGATCTCTTGATTTGGTTTATGCAACGTCCTCCTCTTCTACATTTGTTGTATTTGTGTATATGGACATGTACACACATACTTATATGCACACATATTTATACATAATTGTCAAGGAAGAAGATAGTATATCACTTGGTTATTCCTTTTAAAATATCAAAAGCTTTAATGAAAATAATAGAACTTATTTCCGTAATGCTTTTTGTTACATGAAGCAATTTTCCCATAAATTTCAAGGTTACGAGAGTTAATTCCAGACTAAAAAAAGTAAGCTCTTAAAATAGTTTATGCCTTGTCTACTTTGTTTTTTCACAAAAAACTGAAGATTTCACTTTCTCAGTCCTAGTACTAGTAAAGAAGCTGCATGAATTCAGTTTTTATCATCTTAAAAATGTCTATTCCAGGCAATCATATTATGCTACAGTCTTCACAGCCTACATAGCAGGGCAGTAAGTAACAAGCTCAGTTGCTTTTCCTAATACCAAGAGTTCCTTTGAAGGGCTTGTTCTCCAACACGCGTTTATTCGCTTTGTTTGAGTGTTATTAATTTGCCTTCAGCTATTGAAGGTAAAAGGAAAAATCAGAAAGAATTAAAATTAAAAAAAAAAAAGTAGACCACTATAAAATTGAAAAGAATGGCCTATTCTTTCCATTCTCCAGTTTTCTAGAAAGGAAAAGCTAATGCTGTGACTTTTTTTTTAATCAGCTCTTCAGGTGCTGGAAATGTAGCAGACCGTGTCTTGGCTCAATTGTTAACGGAAATGGATGGGATAGAACAGCTAAAGGACGTGACTATTTTGGCAGCTACAAACAGGCCGGACATGATAGACAAGGTAAGAATAGATGCACTGTGGTATATACTGTTCTCTTGTGAAGATCAGCTTCTGGAATCATTCAGTTCTCTTATGGTTTAGTCTTCAAACTTTGTCTGATCAATTTAATTGATTAAGGGGAAAAGTTTGAAAATGAAGACAAGGCAAAGGAAGGGATTATGTCCCTCACTGCTTTTCCTGCATCTTTTTTAACAAAAACAAATGTTTTGTAATAGTTATAAGTATTAGTTTCCTAAAATAAATTTTTCTTAAATCAAGCTCTTTGAATTTGTGCAACAACAGTTCTGTCAAACTGCTTTTGTGTGTTTTGCTTCTGTTGTGTTTGTTTATGCAGGAGTTTGCTGGACTGTTGCTTTCATTATTTACTTCCTTTCAAAAGATTAAATATCTCCCCTCAGTGCTGTTAGCTGGTTGCCAGCAATACGGGTTCCAGCTGTAAACAGTGCAGTTTCTCTGTAGGTTCTGAGGCAGCTCTGTTGCAATGACAAGAACAGCTCAAGTTTGTGAAAATGAGAGGGTTGTAACACTCGCTGCAGAAAACCTCCAAACACAAAACCAACCCAGCAGTCCTCTAAAAAATACACTTTAGAATAGCCTACTGCTTGTGTGTTTTCTCACAGCTAAGCGTGGTGGACGGACCAATCTGAAGTGATCTCCTTTAAGATGCATTTAATAGTGTTAGTAAGTTTCTTTATTCCACAGTTTTTTGCCTTCACAACTTCCATGCATTTGTTGACAAGCTAACCAAATTTTTTCTTTCCCAGTCTTTTCTTGGGTTCCTTAGAAGTTTTATAAATATTCTTAACCTAACAAATTCATTCTTCCATTGTAAGATATTTGCGGACTACTTTCTTCTGTTTGTCTTGGAGTGTTCAGGCATGAAATACTTATGAAACGCACACTTTTAAAGTAAGGTTCATATACATATAAAGGGAGATTGAAGAATAAAACTCAGATTTTTGGCTCTGGAATGCAGCTCTCTTCCCCTTGAGCTGAAGGAAGCCACTGTGATGGCTGGTGTCCTGATGAAGGCTTACTTAAACACTGTGTGTGCGCCAGCCAAGGCAAAGTGAAGCTAGCAGAGAATTTTCAATAAAAGAGAATAAAACACATCAGTGGAAATACATTTCTGCAAAACTGAAAATTTCCACAGAAGATTTGAGTTTTGTCAAATTGCTTTCAATTTTCTTTGATAAGTATTCTCTTTGGGGTCAAACTGAGCTGAATTTGAAAAACAGCACTTTGTTAAATGGAAGGGGATTTTTCTTTCTGGGCCAATTCAATGTTTTTCTGTGTTAGCATCACCACCTGGGAATTCAGTTGCCTGTCTTTCTCCCTTTTGCTGGATTTCTCTTGGGCCCGGTGGCTCCCCAGGGGATACTGTTTTCCTATATTTTAATTTTTATTTGAAATACTGGCATTTCCCTGGGACAGTACCACCATGTGGTAGGGGTACAATCCTGCAGTCCTGAGAATTTCTACATAGGACTTCAGTTACTAGAAATAAGTCAGCTGTTTCTGCATCACTGTTGCAAAGCCAGAACTCCTTCCCTAGGACTGAAAATTTTAATTTTAATCTGGGGGTAAAAAATTGACATCTTTCATGCATGTGAACTTTATGGAGGCAGCGAGGGGAGATGTTTGTTTCCGGAAAGACCCGTTTGTATATCCTCTTTTCCAGAAATAGTTTGTTTTAGCTAAAAGCTACCTCAGAGCCACGAGAGGGAGGGGAGGGATAATATATAACTGATATGTGACCCAGTCAGAAGAGTGACAGGTTTACACAGAAATTAGCTAAATGCTGCAACTTCACTGAACTGAGACAAGGTGATACTGGCAGTCAGTAAGGCTGAACGGATAGCAGGGTATGGAAACCCCTTTATCCTCCCTGGCTTCATTCCCTTTTGGCATTTGTCAGCAAAGTCTGAAAACTGTGTGGTATCTAGTGAGCCGTGGTAACCACCACGGGCACGATTTTTGGATACTCTGGTGGCTGGGAGGAAGAATATTATACGTGTGTGTCCCTGTGGAGTTCTAAGCAACTTGAATCACAGACGGTTGAAGGAAAGGAAACCTAAAACTAATAGCATGCTTGTGTTTAAATGGCAACATTAGACTTGCATATTCTTTCCCCAAGTAAAGCAGATAGTCCCGATCCTAAATTCAAATAAAAGAAAAAAGGTGCATGAGACAGCCCCCTCAGAGAAGCACACTGTATGATTATAGGAATTTTATTTGCAGGAAACCATGAATGGATACTTTGGATTTTCTTGAAACTGTTTTTTACTGAGATATACAGAAATAAATGTTCTAATAACTTTCTGGAAAAGAGTTCTCTTATAGAACAGCAGAGCTAAATTTCACCGGTCTGGAGGAAGTGGGAGTTTAAAATGCAATTCAAAGGGCTTGGCAAATCAGATTGTAGTTGGTATGGCTCACATCATGCTTCATTCAGGTTGGACAGGCTGTACCAGGCCACTGTCCTCTCCTGGGTCTATGCAATATTTATAGTGCACTTGCTGCACTGCACTTTCCTGGAAAAAAGACGACTGATACCAGAAAGCATTACTATTGTGAGCTTGACTTAATGGGAGATCTTTCAATCTGAGCTTTTAGTTTACTTTGTGATCAGTCATGCCTTTTGAAAATGTAAAATTTTATTAAATCCATTTAATATTTTATATGGAAATATTAGTTCAGTCATGTATTCCAGTAATAAATGTCATGTTCACATGGGTGTACGATGACCATGCAGTCATTTTTAATGCATGTATCTTACATATTGTATAAAGGTGCAAGAACGATCTGTGTTTTTTACTTCCAGGTCCCAGGGGCTGGGAATATATCTGGTATATTTTTTGGTGACTATATTTTAGTCTTTCAAAATAGGAAGTGTTTGAGGAATGCTTTCTTTGTAAGTTTTGTATACCAGTAATAATCCATTTAGCATCTTCATTTACATGACTGCTTCTTAGTTGACAAATATGTGACAGTTTTAATCTTCTACAATTTGAAAACAGCACATGGGAATATCAAATGCAAAGGTAGAATATTTCCTCTGAGCCTAGTGCACCTCGTGCAAAATTCATCATCCTCACAAACACTACAGTGTGTTATTTTTGCCTAGCGTATAGATTTTGAGTCAGCCTTTAGAAAGTTATGTTTAATGGTAAACTTGTTTTGACTTGTTGCAAGCATCTATAAATAAGGTAATTTCTCTAAGACATCATCACGGTATTGAAATGTTCCAGTCTTAAGATGTGTCCCATGTTTGTATGGGGCACTTTGCTGACTTGACTTCTCATTCATGTGATGCTGGAAATACTTTGGGATAGTTTCTGTTTTTCTTAAGAAAATAAAAACAGCATGTCCTGTTTTCATCCCAGGTATGATACAGAAAGAATGATTTGTATTGGAAGGGAAGTATTCTGGAACAAGATCTTCTGAACATTCTTTGACAGTGATAAAGAAACAAAACCCTCTCAGTTAGTAATATTAAAAAAGAATCCTCCCTTTTGTGTAATAGATGGGCTTGATTCCTTACTCTAGAAGTAGAATTGATGAACAATAATAGGAAAAATTCTTTTAGTTTTTGCTGACTTGCACACTCAGGAGTGATTTTTTCATACCTAAAATATTTTGCAGTCATTTTACGGAGCTGCTTATGGTTCAAAGCTTGTCTGTGTTTTCCTGTGTATGCGCTGACGTAACAAGAGCTATCGCTCATCCCTACAACCTTGCATAAAATATTTTTTACAGCGTGTATGTTTTGATTAGCTTGAAATTAAATATTCTTTTCAGACATATATGTGGACAAGCTTCCGAGGATAGTCTACCCGATTTCTATGGGAGGAAACCTAGCAACAACTCATCGGCTTTTTGTTTGTGTGGTTTTTTTTTTGTTTTGTTGGTGGTTTTTCTTCTCCATGGGTATCTCTGTTTTTGTAGGCATTTAGTACTAGGCCTAGTTCTTGGGTGAGAAGGATGAACTGCTGTCATTACCTGCCCATGCAGATATCTTTTTCCTCTTAAGCAGTGTTTCAACCTCCTTTAGTAAGGGTATACTGAAGGAAGAGAGACTGTCAGATCCTCTGGGAACTTGGTGAATGTTTCAGCACAGGAAGCAAGATGCGTGTAGCTGGAGAATCAGATTTTTACCTCCTGCTGGGTAGAATTTGAATGTCAAACACGTTAGCTGTGATGTAAAACACAAGGCGCTGAGTGAAGTGATGGTTTGTGATACAGGATGGCATCCTGGTGCTTCTGACAGCTTCACTTCTGCTTATCATGGGGTGCAGAAAAGATGTATCCTCAAATATGCTATTTGCATAAGAATGACAGGATGTGATAGAACAAATGAAGATTAATGAGATGCTGTGCTGTCAGTGTTGCCCATTGTCTCTGGATTGATGATGGTCTGGATTTCATCGGTGTTCATGGGCTCCAGTGTAGCTTACACCAGAAGCTGCATTGGTGCATTGAATGCTGAATCTTTATAAATGCACTGTTAGTACAGGAGAGCTTCCAATCTTGAAAAGGTTCCAATCTTGAAGTTTCTTGTGTGCTAGTATAAGTACATATATACTCTGCATATTGTGTCAGTGCAGAGGAATTTTCTTCCCTCCTTTTGCAAATTTATTTTGCTTTTAAAAAGTGCCCACTTCCCAGCCCTCCTCCTCACTTTCTCCTTCTTTCACCCTGACTTACTCCACCCCCAAGTCTTGGGTCCATATTATTCCTTAGAGAATCTCTGTTGGCTTCAGTGTATTAACCACTAATGTTGAATTCAGCTTATTTAATTTCAAAACCACATGCATACTACTGAGTTGCTTGTTCTGCTTATGTGAACAAAATAGAACTGCAGCCTGTATTTTCCCCTGCAACTGCCAAGCATGAGGAAAGGGAATAAAACTCCCTTCTCTTGCGGTTCATTTTGATTTTGGAGGAGTTCTTCTGGTCAGAGGAGTCAAACAGAGGTTCACCAAGTTGATCTGATTTTC